TCAAATTATAAACTATTTAATTAAAACTATAAGTAGTAAATTGGTAATGATAATAACAATAATAATAATAATAATACTGAAGTAATAGGGATGTATTAAGAAGAAGCAGCACTGATAATGCATGATTGGCAGGCGATATCAAGTTTTTACAATTTGTAAAATTATTTAGAAGTGCTTGAAAACGTCTTTTCGTCAACATGTGCACATTTCGTGCTTGGGAGAGTAAATATCTTATCACTGTTCGCTCCTAGCTAGATATTTTTGCGAATGTAAGTTGATGTAGAGAATACTCTCTCGAGTAATCTCTACTTTATCATTCAAATTTCATGCAAAACAAAGACATATTACATATTATATTAATTTGTGGTTTATGAGTCATCATATCGAAAGTTAGAAGTGGTGGAGGCAAGTGAAAGTGCAAATGTCCTGAATCATAAAAGGTCATAATTCCGATATGCCTCTGGAAGGGATCATAAAGGTTATAACTTCGAATGTTCTGGAAATGAACTTAGCCACATTATTAAATGAACGAACGGTAAAAGGACATTATTTCCTCATACCGAAGTCTCCGCCTTCTCCCTATATAAGCAGGTACGGTAAACATCTCCTCCATACTCTCACTCATGACTCATCCCAATCTTCTTCCACCTTTGTCATTAAACTCGTTGTTGTTATATCATTATATTACAAATCTCGTACAATTGCTAGTGTCGTGATGTAATATTTTTGTGTATTGTTTAAATAAAGGTTTAATTACCCAAGTTTGAGGTGCAACTACTCGACTTCGGAGCAAACCTAACGACTACCACTGATCCCGAGCCCTTGCATAAAGATTTTTAAACAGAGGAATCTTCTGCCTTCATTTATGATCGTTGAATTATCTTTATTGGAGAAAGAGTAACTTCCGAAGTATATGAATTTACACGGGCTTGAAAAAACCCATTAAAAACGCGGTTATCACAACACTATCTAATAAATAAGTACAAGCTATTTTCTTTTTGATATATGGATTGATTGAAAATTATTATGTAGTTAGCTTTGAAGCTTCTCCCACTAGTGTCATCACTTCTACAAAATAAATATTAAATTTAATATAAAAAAAATAGACTATTGCTCGACCACGTGGTGCTACTTTCAGAAATGTTTAAATTAGTTTTGGTGTAGTGCAATACCACTCACATCAAATAGCCATTCATAATCCTCATCGCTGTTTCGGCTCTGCTTATCTGATTTCTTTTCAATGTCTTCTTCTGTTGAAGATATTGAACGCCTCATTCGAGTTACCCGAGTTCTCGCATACTTCAGCCTAGAACAAAAAGTGCACAGTGTTAAACTTCACTTAATATAAAACCTCTGGTGCACGCGGCGATCAAATGAGATTTAAAGGTAAACAGTGTAGGTCTCCATTCAGATTGCTTTTCGATTTAAACCGAAACGTGCCTGGAATTTCTTAGAGGTCCGTAATATAGCTCTAAACTTACCTGTGAAATAAGCCTAGCACTAATTGAAGGGACTGTCAAAAATTGCAAACTATGTACAGGCCATAGTTGTGCTGAGATAGCCGCAAAATTCGGAACTTCAGGCAAGAACCCGCACTTACAGATATCCAGTCTGCCGAGCTGATCAGTTATACTACCAAGGCCCTTGCTCTACGACCACTCAATGCTTCACATATAGTAAGTAGGTATCATTATCAGCACTCGCCCGCTAACGGGTACGATCTGGTGAGCCGATATCGGCATTGCATCCAGTTAAGCTGATGACTGCGGGATAACCCGAAATTTTAGACATATTCGTAATTTTTATTTTATTTAAATAAAAATTTTATTTAAATAAAATAAAAATTACGAATATGCACAGGCTTACATACATAGGTTACAGTCATCTTCCACACAAATAATATTAATAATGACAAGAAACGAATGGCACGTGTACAGAGGAAATGAATGACAGAATAAGTTACTTAGAGTGCCTATAACCTGCTTTAAAAAATTAAATATAAATAAACGAGCACCTACTTCTGACCATCATAGACCATGTTCTCGTCATAATAGCTCTCTAGGCGATTATTATCTTTCCAAACTCTTGTTGTAGAGACTTCTGCTTCTAGATAGGCTGTGGTTGGTTCAGCTGTAGATGTCTGCCAGTTTTCCACATCTGCTATTTCATTATGCTTCACACCTTCTTCAACGATGAAAGGTATATCTAGAAGGAGTCTTTTTGAATTAGATCAAAAAGTCAATTTTCAGGTAATCCGCGAAAATCCTA